ACTGCAATAAAATTATATTATAATAATGATAACTTTGAAAATTAATAAATTAAATGAAGAAAATTTTAGAGAAAATATATACATTATCTGGGTCAATGTGATCCAATAGATTACGATATAGAACGACATTTCGTCTCGGATTTCTGTTGTAATCTATGCCCCTTACACAAAACCTACCACAAAGAGATAAATAATAAATTATGTACCGTTATTATCATAAATCCATAAAAATTAAATAACATTATAGACTTGCTTGCGTAGGGGAAGTGTAACGCCCGATATTTAATTAATTATTTAATTAAATATTTTTAAATATTTTTTCGATTAAAAAAGAAAATGCTCAAATATTCAAATCTTCCCACTCTCTTATAGTACTCGTTATCCACTCATTAATTTGATCGATTAAGTATTAACCTTAGAAATAAGCAGCTTACTAGTTACTTCTTATCATAAACTCAAATTCACATGGATAAAACATTATCTTTTCATTTCACTAATCATTTCAAGTTTTGAACAACATTGAATATCAAAATTATTTTAATTTATAATAAATTTGAAATAACTTATTTTGAATATTTTGTTTTTAAAGTTTGAAAATCATTTTTCTTAAAAAAATCTGTAACAAACGACCCATAACCATCCCAATTTATTCTCTGGTATCAGACGCCACTCACTTCCGTCGTGGCCATGGCGTCGTCGTGGCTGTGCTCTACTCCCTTCACCGTCGTCACCACCACCACTACCCTCCGCAAGTATTACACCTCTAACAATGGCCTTGCTGTAAGTAGAAGTGATATATTGTCACTTCTCTACACATCCATTTCAGCGAAAAAGAACACCGATAACAAAATACTCAAGAAACTAAGAAAATGGAAAACCCAAAAAGGAAAAAACAACACTTTCTCTTATCCACAACCCAAACCAACTCCACTTATAATTCACCAACAACCATATCCTCAAACCAAATTTCAAGCACTTGAACAAGTCCTCAATGACCTTGAAGATTCCATAGAGAAAGGTATCAAAATTGACCCTGAAATTTATGCTTCTTTGCTAGAAACTTGCTACCGTTTTCAAGCTATTCATCATGGTATCCGGCTTCACCGCCTTATCCCTCCAGCCCTCTTGCATGGAAACATTGGTGTATCGTCTAAACTTGTTAGGTTGTATGCTTCATATGGGTATATGGATGAGGCACATGACCTGTTTGATCAAATGACTAACAAAGATATGTATGCATTTCCATGGAATTCACTTATATCTGGATATGCCCAGTTGGGACTTTATGATGATGCTATTGCCCTTTATTTCCAAATGGTGGAAGAGGGTGTTGAACCGGACTTGTACACGTTTCCCCGGGTTCTTAAAGTTTGTGGTGGAATTGGGTTGGTTCGGGTTGGGGAAGAGGTGCATCGTCATGTAGTGCGATATGGGTTTGGCGGTGATGGGTTTGTCCTTAATGCACTTGTTGATATGTATTCTAAATGTGGTGACATTGTGAAGGCGAGGAAGATCTTTAATAAGATACCTTTCAGAGACTCGGTTTCATGGAACTCAATGCTCGCAGCTTATGTTCATCATGGTCTTGAGGTTGAGGCAATCGACGTTTTTCGCCAAATGCTTTTGGAAGGGGAAAAACCAGACTCTTTTTCTATATCCGCAATTCTTACTGGCGTGTCATCGTTGGATGTTGGGGTTCAAGTTCATGGATGGGTAATCCGACAAGGTGTTGAGTGGAGCTTGTCCATTGCTAATTCATTGATTGTTGTGTACTCCAACCATGGAAAGTTGGATAAGGCACGTTCAATATTCAATCAAATGCCTGAAAAGGATATTGTTTCGTGGAACTCCATAATATCGGCTCATTGTAAACACTCGGAAGCCATTGCTTATTTTGAGAAAATGGAGGAAGCCAATGTAAATCCTGATAAAATAACATTTGTTTCATTGATATCAGCTTGCGCCTATTTACGTTTGGTGAATGCCGGAGAGAGATTGTTTGCTTTGATGTATGAAAAGTATAAAATGAAACCAATTATGGAGCATTATGGTTGTATGGTTAACCTATATGGTAGAGCAGGGCTAATCGAAAAGGCTTATAGTATCATAGTTGATGGGATGGGCTCTGAGGCTGCTGGTCCAACTCTGTGGGGAGCTTTATTATATGCATGTTTTTTGCATGGAAATGTAACTATAGGAGAGATTTCTGCAAACAAGCTTTTTGAATTAGAGCCAGACAATGAACATAATTTTGTACTTCTTATGAAGATCTATGAAAATACAGGCAGATTAGAGGATATGGAAAGAATTAGAAAGATGCTGGCTGATAGAGGGTTGGATCACTAGACAGCTCTATACATCCAAAAGCCTTAACGCTACAGGTACAATTCATGCATGTGTTTCTTTAATAACCATCATGCACTTCAAATCTCATTTTGACTCGAGTATTTTGTTAATTCTATGTTATGAAACTTAACTGAATGACTAGTATTCTTTTTTTCAATTCAAAAAACAACATGCGTTTCATCAAATGTACAAATTATAGCTATTTTTCATTATATTTGTTTTTATGCTGTTTTGATGGGTCATCACACCTCTTCACATTGTAGTTTTAAACCAGACTCAATTTTGTGGGTCCTGATTATAGTTGCAAAAATATTTATTTCAGCAGATGTCATTACATTCATATGTTATTTTTTTTTCAAAAAAAAAAAACTAACTGTTTAAGGAAAGCGGAAAGGGTGTGTGAATGGTATATCGTGGTTTAAGAACCTTCTAGAAGCTTAGTTCAAAATTTGAGAATTCTGTTTCTATTGCAGCATATGGTTATTGACACTGTGTTTATGATGCACTGCAGTTGCAGATAGCTTGACCATGCTTAGTTCCTGTTTCTGTATCTTGGTGAGACCTTCTCACCTGTTCAACTTTTTGGAGCTGCTGTTAGTGTTGCTGCAATATATATGGTTAACTTCACAGTGAGTTATATAGTCATTTTTCTACTGGCTATTTCAACATAATCGCAATGAAAAAACTGCTACGAACTCAAATTGGGAATGCTAGTGTTTTTGGACATGGAGAGAAGTTTGATTCATATGTGATCTTGAGCACTTGCTATCAGGCTTTACAATGTAAATACAATTTTGATTAGTTAGTTTAGTTAGTTCAGGCTCCGACTCTGAGCTTCTTCCTACACAACTTATAGCAGAAAATTGTAAGTTACCAGAGTTGAACACAAGCCTTATACAAGGAAATATTGTTTCCATAGAAATTTTCTTCTTTGTATTAGATGACTTTACTGTACCAAAAAAAAGAAGAAGATGACTTTACTGTTACACTAGGTAGGAATGACTAAGATTGTATAGATAACGACTTGTTTACGGAAATATAATGAATTTGTTTATGAATCCCAAAGACAATTTCTCTTAAGATTATTATTGGGTTTGGAGGAATGATTATGTGGAAATAGTATCCGCAACTAGGGTGCTACACGGCCATTGTTATATATAATCTAATTTGCTACACTATTCTTATAAGGTTAGTTTATGCACATCATACACGCTTGGATAATTAGGCCCCTTAAGTATCTAGTATATGGGTTTGAATGTTTGATCATTTTCTATTTAGGATATGGTAGAACAGCCAAAGCTTAATTCTTGGAATTGTCTTCACTCAAAATTGCCCAAGTTTGATTATCCTATTGCGGTGATTTTCTAATCCCTTGGAGTGTTTGGGTTTTGTAAGGAATGTGTGACTATTGTCTATTTTTGTGCCTAGCATGGGGAGTTTTCTGTTATAGTTTGTTTGATGGAGTAGCAGTTTTTAATATGTAGGGAGAAGAAGGGGCTTTTTACTAACTTGGTTTCTGTAGTGTATTTCCAGGGCATCTGATTTGAAGGCTGGGGTTGTTTTAACTAATTGGAGCAGATATTCTCTAGACTTGCTGTGAGAGTAAATACTGTACTCTCTTCGGTCTAGTAGTACGGATGGGGGGCGTTTTGGCGGCTACGTCTTGGTGATTCTTTGGAGTTGGTTTTGTGATTTTAGCTATATTGTCTTTAGGTGGGAACACATTTCAAACCTGCAATATTTTGCAGGTCAAAGTGGTTTGAAACTAAGAGGGGTTGTTTGATCTTGTTGGTGAGTTGCCAGTATTTTGTTTGGCTTGGTGCGATAGGGAAGTTTTATGGATCCTCTGCGGTGGCTCTACGGTCCAGGTCAATCTCAACCACTAACTTTAATCTAATACATGCAATCAACAACATTAGTTAATATATAGACAGCTAAGATTGGAGCAGGATGAGAAACATGAAAGAGGGAGCGAAAGGATTTGTTTTCATAGTTTTGGTGCTTTTTGTATGGGAGCCTTAAGTTAAGTTTGGTGGTAACTGCTATTTGTTGCATTGTGTTCTTTTGTCGAGCTAATCTTCGTTAGTTAGCTATTTCTTCAATTGGTGTACATTATACCACACCCCGTGTGCTATAACAATTTTAATAGAAGTTTCTTTTGCCTCTGCAAAAAAAAAAGGTTTGATATGTTGCCGATATATTTGTATTCTTGAAGGATTAGTCCCTGACTTTTTATCACAGATATATTAGGTGGCAAAAAATGAAAAAAAATCAATTGCAGGTGTAGGAAATACCGGTAGTCCGGCACCAGTCTGTTTAGCTGTCTTTCTATTCCCTCCCTCCTCTTAAGTGTCTGAGTTAATTACAAATGGAACTGAAAAAACTGATCCTTTTTATGCATTTTTTATTTTAAGAAATAAAGAAACATAATGTTATTACAACTGAATTAGGAGCAATATTCACATGGACCTTAATTAAATGAAAACTGGTTGCAAAGTGTGCAACTCCAAACAGAAGGAATATCAAACTCATGGGACTATTAATGACAAAATGAAGGTGAGTTCATTTATGTGGATGCAGCTGTGTGCAACTCCAAACAGAAGGAATATCAAACTCATGGGAATATTAATGACGAAAGATGAAGGTGAATTCATTTATGTGGATGCAGCTGCTGTGACAACTGGTTTCATGTGAAGAAAATTACTGGCACCAAGCCTGCCAGACCCCGTCTCTTTGTCCTGCTGATGATCACTCTCTCTCCTTTTGCTGTTCACTTTCTTCTTTGCTCCATCCACGTTCTCTCGTCCTGCAAAAGAAGACACACTTCCTTCCAAGCCTAACGAGGTTTTCTGATCCTTGTCAATGCAATTGTTCGATCTATCAGTCCAGGAATCTTTTGAATCAATAGAACTAGGTTCCCAAGAAGAAGAAGAAATGCCTCGCCGCTGTTTTGCACTACTGACAGTTAAGCTGTTGCTTCCTGAAGATTCTTGCTTCTCCTTGTTCGGACCATCCACATTCATTGTCTCAAACTTATGTAAGCTCGGTTCAACCATTTCATCATAAACAATTAACTCAGACTCTACAATTGGGTCCCTGGTATCTGCCACTCTCTTCCCATAACTACTGCTAGTACCCAATGGAACATTGTATTCATTCCTACTAGACTGAAAACCTGATGGACTTCTCCTGTCCTCTACGCCAGATAAATTTGAGCTGGTATTGGAGTTGAGATTAGCAACAGCTTCAAGGATAGAGCAAGCTCTAGCAACACAAGCTGGGAGAGAAACAGGTGGTGGGGGTGGTGTGTTCTTTTGATGGAAGTTCTGGATATCTTCAAGCAGTAGTGAGGTGTAGGACTGTGGAGGAATCAAAAGATCTTCAGGATTGAAGTCTAACTCTAAGTCTCGCGAATGCCTCAAAGATCTGCTTCTTGTTAATGTCCGGGGTTTTAGGTTTTCAACCACCGGTGGCACCACTGTCTTGACAACAACGTTATCAGCCATTGAAGACATCACTTTAACATCTTCATCTTGTTTTATTGTTGTCTTGCAATTCACATCCACACCCTTGTCCAATGCAATTCTGCTGGCATTTGATTTCTGCATTATCAATAACATACATAAATAGGACAAATTACAAAACCTCTTTCAACCTAATAAATCATGAACCAAATGTTACCTCTTATATGCTTGGATTTGCAATAGTAAAATTTGATTTTAAATGAATTGCTTTGTAAAGTTGATTATTGTTTGTACACCCATTCATGTAAAAAATGGATTAGATAATAAACTTGAAAGCTAAAAATGATGTTATGAGGCAAAAACTTGAAACTCCTTCTTCAACTTAATTCAAAAGCAAAATCAACTCTACTTGATAAACCTGGATAGGTCAAAATCAGTTTTTTTTTCCAGTGTTCATAATAACTTTGGCTTCTCAAATAAGTGAATACAACAATCATACACAAAGTGGATACCTGTTTAACTTCTGTTTCAACTTCCGCCTTGGATCTGCGTTGAATCCTGCTGTTGATATAATTGGTTGTTGAATGTGGAGCAGCAATGGAGTTAGATTCAAGCTCACTCAGTGGATTTCTTCTGTATGGCGATTCATCTTTTTTCTTCGACGAATTGCGACCAAGTGATAGTTGCTGCTGCTGATTTACTGCATTCCCATTTACTTTAGCAGGAGATTGAGAGCGCGGAGAAGCCACACCAACGTTTCTCCTAACTGTAATCCTCTTTATACCAGTTGTATCTGCTGCAGATTCTTCACAATCATTATCATTACTTTTATCCATTAGAAGGGATGTAACAGTAGCAGGGACAGACACCATTTTTGCAGGCTTAGAGCTAGTGCTGTTGTTGTTTCTTGCATTGAGTGATGTGGTGGCATCTGAAGATCTTCTTACAGGTGATATACTAAATCTCCTCTCCATGCCGCTCGAACATTGTTGCTGCTCTCTTTCTCTGCTGGGAGTTCTTCTTCTTCTTCTTGTTCTTCTATTTCCATCCTGTGAAAGTGACCTTGGAGATTGAAACTGCAGTTTCTCTGCAGGCTCCCTCCAATCATCCTCATGCAAATCACTAATATTTTGCTCCTTTTCAGAGAAAATTGTATCATTGTCATCAAAATCATTACTTCGGTTTGAACCCGATAATCTCCTTCTCTGGTCTTTAAAAGAAGAAGCTTTACCTGATGAATTTCTGCTGAGTCTCCCACAATGTACAAGAATTGCATCCACATCTTCTTCAGCTGCTTCATCATGGCTCTTCCTGTGTTTGATGATAAAAATCTCTTTTTTCACTTGCCCTTTATCATCATGTTTCTGAAGAACTCTCTTATCATTCTCCTTGATCAGCTTCAGTTCTGGTTTTGTTTCAACTTTTGGGTTGGAAACTGAGATACCATTCCGAGAAGAATTCTTCTTCCATTCAAACTCAACAGACTTTGTAGTGGTTGACTTGGTTTCAGCAAGAGAAGAAGTGGTAGTTGAAGAGTCTTTCTTCTTACTCAAACAAGTACCCATGAAATGATGTGGTTTGGTTTGGTCTATTGAAAGGAAGGGTCATAAGAAAGAAGAAGAAATTTGAATTTCAACAAGGGGTGTCCTACAATGGTACCAAGAACTTTGTTTCAGGAAAAAGATTGAAACTTTGTGATTTGAGGAGAGAGAAACAACATTCAAAATTTGAGAGAAGGGGTAAGGCGGGCAAGGAAACACGGATCTTTTGAGAAGGGTCATGTTGTTTTTGTCTGATCCACCTCACCCCACTGACTTCAATTCTGAAACACCTTTTTTTAGAATAAATAAAAATAAAACTAGTATATTTTTATGTATAATACTTTTCTTTATTTATTATTTTATTTCATTTCATTTTTTCAAGGATATTATTGAAAGAAGAATTATAATCTTACACTGAAATTATATATTCATACGGTTTTATTTATTAAATATATTTAATAATTAGTTTTTACTTTTTCCAATACATATAAACACATGTTTTTGCTGTATTTGAGACTGTATAAGTATACGGTGTTGAAATTTTAGTGTAAAAAAATTTCTTACTTTGTAAAATTAAAACTGTCCTTTTCAACGCAAAAAGCCAATATAAATTTTTTAGGTTTTGTTCTTTGATTTGTGTTCTTAGAAGTTAGAACCTTGTTAGCAAAGCCTTTAAGAAATAAGTACGTAATTATAATGACCGATTCGTTTCTGAATAAATATTTTTTCAAAATAAATTATTATTTTAAGTTTTAGGCCTTGGTAATATTAGAAAAAGAGTTTTTATCTTTTAATTTTTAGTTTTTCAGTTCATATTAAAAAAAAATTATGTTTAGTAACGGTCATTTATCTTTTAACTCGTAGTTTTCTTATTAATTTTTAACTTTTTTTTTCAAAAGATATTTAAAATAAATTTTAAATTTATAGTTTTTATTTGTGACTTTTTTATTTATTTATATTTTTATTATTTTAACAAAAATATATTTTTACTCATATATATATATATATATATATATATATATATATATATATATATATATATATATATATATATATATATATATATATATATATATATATATATATATATATATATATATATATATATATATATATATATATATATATATATATATATATATATATATATATATATATATATATATATATATATATATATATATATATATATATATATATATATATATATAAAATAAATTTTACGTCGTATAATTATATTTATGCTAATTAACAAAAAAATATAATATTTAATATTTTTTAACAACATTTAAATTACATATTTTATAATAAATTTAGAGATAATGTTAATAATTCTTAAGTTTGTGAAACATTAGAAGATCATTAAGACGACGAAGATTGATAGTAATATTAGAGTTTTATTATAAAATAGACAATACATTTATTTTTACTATTATTTTTACTATTATTTTAAATTAATATAATTGAATTCAAAATCATAATGATATTATTTTATATATCTCATTAAATTTATATATAAATGATATTGTATAAGTACATTTAAAAATTTATATATAATTGTTTGATATATTTTATTTTTAATTTTAATATATATTAATTTTTTTGCATGTATTTGCTAATATTTTTATTTTATTTTATAAAAATTATTATTTTTTTACTTTTTTAATTATATATTATATTTTATTAAATATATATTACTATATTTTTCAAAATATATATTACTTTTAATATTTTTATTTTTCATTTTGTTTTTAAATTTGAAAATTATGTATTATAAGAGGCTTATGGTCCATTTCCAGTAAATCTGTTTTCGATCCAATTGATCAAATGTGTTTTTCGTATATATACACTCATATCCTTCATATTAAAGTTGATGTGGAATTTGAAAATACTCCATATTCTTTCTCCAAAGCATAACTAAACATGCAGACAAGCTACAGTTCTAAACTTGCGCCAACTCCATAGATGTATCTAACATCCAACTTGAAACCATCTGCAAACAAGTGAAGGCATTGGAAAATGGAAATACCAATCTAATTCAAATGGTTGAACCCTTCCATCAATCGACTTAGAATATGAGTATCTCATTTTTCATGTTGGTGAACTAAATAAGTTCATCTAAACCGATTGATGGAAGGAGATACTCAATATTAATTACTCTTCTTGTATCTTTGTAGTTAAGAAAGTCATTCAATTAATTGATCTAGTTGATCCTTTAAATCACACATTGTAAGATCAACTATGATCATAAACAAATTGGATCTCACTTTGTTGTAAAAAAGTGTGCTAAGTTAAATTATTTTGACTAGATATGGTTAAAAGCTTATTGTTTTGAATAGTGAATAAAAATGTTTTGATACGTGTGGACAATGAATAGTAGCAATTAAAATAAATAACTTTTAATAATAATAACTAATAAGCAAACAATATATTAGAAGAAAATAAGGCGGAAAAATATGAAAGGTTTGTTTATCCAATTTGATCAAAAGATTTATGTCTATTGGAAAGAGCATCTCTCCAATTCACTATATTCATAAAGTTGTTACAAGAAATTACAAATGAGTTTTAAGAAACAAACATTTCTTTAGAGTTCCCAAGAACAAATCCTGAAGGCGTCCAAGAATAAATCTCTATTTTATACCCAAATATTTTCCAACATCTCCAACTCTCAATATATGATTCACTCAAACCAAATATTTTAGATGTATTTTCCCAACCTTTTAGATAACTCCAAAGATTTCCCAAAAACATTTTTCTTTCTAAGGTTTCCATTTTAATTTCTTAAACACTTATTTCTCCCTTTTGCTCTAAAGCTCTAAAATTGTCACATTGTAGAGATACATATTTATAATTGGTAAAACTCAACAGATCCATAACAATGTCCAAAACAAAACTCATTCATTATTAGAATATTATAAATATATTCTAATATTTTATATATTAATTTAGACTATTTCTAAATTAATATAAAATATATATCAAATATTCTGACATCAATGAACAGATTCGCAAACTGAACCGACCAAACTCGATGTTTGCAAACTGTCTAAACTAGACATTCTTGATACTATTTGACTTCCTATTTTTTTTTGTAATCTCGAAATATATTTTCTTTCTATTTATCAACAAAGGATTTAAGGCATAGTTCAATAATCTCCACATTGACTTTAAACTATGTTATTGTCAATTTAATCATCAACAATCTTCCTGCTCTCTATCATGTTGAAACTCTAATTAATAACCTTGATCAAACTCAAGACACCCTTGAATCTTGATCTCTCCACTTGCATTCACTTGTTTTAAATTATTTTTGGATTATTTGTTGAAAAATTGTGAAATGTTGGTAATTGTTGGTATAAGTTGTTAGATTATTATTAATTAATTAGTTGATCAATAATAATAATAATGTTGAAATTAATAGAATAATTTATATGGACCTGTTTTATTGGTTGGATGTAGTAAAGTGGGGGGGTGTAAGTTAGGCTCAATAGAATTGAGGTATAAGGTTAAGCTGACACAAGAATTTGCTTGAGTTGGAGATAAAGAAGTCTTGTGCGCTGACCTTAAAAGTTGTGCGACAAGAGGAGCAAGGTTGCACGGTCGTCGAGCAAAGTTGCACGATTATAGAGCAGAGTAAAGCAAAGCTGTCGACTAGAATTTTGTAGAGCGACCTTCAATCCAGGTAAGAGTGGAGTTATGACCTTACAATGAGATTTATGATGTGTATTATATGGGAATTGGTCGTTTGTATGAATGTGCATTAATGTTTCTAGAATTGTTATCGAAGTTGCACGTTTCTCTATGTTGTGGTCGTTAGGAAGTCACTGTATGACTATCTTGCATGATTAGTGAACCTATCGTTGAAGTTGCCCGTTAGTAGTGTTGTCGGCGGTTTGAGTGGTCTGTATTATTGCTTGGTAGAATCGATGATTAAGTTAGTGTAGTTTATCACTGGGTGGTGTGGTCGTTACGATGTTGTGGTGTTCCGAGTAGTTGGCAGAAAATTAGTAAATTGTTGTTGTGGTCATTTTAGGAAGGTTTTTGCGTGACTGTCTTGTATAATTAATAAATCTGTTGATAGAAAATATAGTTGCCCGTTGTTGTGATATTCCGAGCAGTTGGTCGGAAGTTATGGATTGTATTGATGTGATTTAAATTCGAATAGAAATGAAAATTGGATAGTATGAGAGCATAATCAAAGTTTTATACAATGGTTCAAAGATCATATTTATTCAAAGTTTGATTTAGATCTTGTTTCAATAACAGAAAGGTTGAGATGTTTAGCATATGGTCTGAGTTTGCTCATGTTTTCTTATAGCGCATATGCAATTAATGGATACACATTTTATACCAAATAACAAGATGATAAAAGTACTATGCAAAATAGTGGTGTCATTATTTTAGCTGAAGCAATGCCTATCTCAAGTATGAATGACTTAAACCCCAAATATGCAAATCTGTCATATTTTAGGGTTATCGAGCACATTTGGGTGTTTGATTATGAGAAGTTTAAAATGCCTATCTTTGGTTGCAAGTGGGTACATAATAGCGGCATACAGATGGATAAGTCGGGATTTTTACAAGTGGATCTTAATAGGGTGGGGTACAAAGATGAGCCTTTTATTCTAGCCTTTCAAGCTAAAGAAGTGTTCTACGTCACTGATCCGACAAGTTCCAAATAGTCTATAGTGCTTTTATCTAACAAAGAGATTGATGATAACAATGTGAATCATAGTGATGTTGATGTTGGAAATGAGTCATATGTTAGAGGCAATGAGTCGTATGTACGAAATGATCAAGATGAGAATATTATAGCGGATGAATCATATATTAGAAATGATCATAATGAGGGAATTTGGATCAATCCATCCGTCCGAGTTGTTAAGAGCCAAGTAATTCATATTTCAACCAAGAAACGAAAGAGATGTTAGTGGAAAAGGTACTAGTGAAATGTTATATGTTCTGTCATTCAATAAAATTGTGTTTTTATTTTTATATTGTGTTTATGGTTTTATATTATATTT